TGACTTTCCAAATAAAATATGGTTGGCGAGGTGGCGCATGGCAACAGGCTTTGGCGTTATCACGGGTTCAAGTCATTTCAGTTGGAACGAAGTGAACAATGGAACAAATGATGCTGCTGAAGACGTGTCACTTGAAAAAGCCACTGTTGAAGAATAAACTCTACCCGGTTTTAAGAAGTAAAACAGTGAAGTCGTTAATGAAGTTACTACCACTGATGTGACTGCTACCGATAATGGGACATTTCCTGATGGAGCAGACGAATCCCACGTGAAGCAGAAGCTAATAAGAGGGAGACCAGTACGAAAGAAGAAAAGTCCTGTAAAATTAAGAGACTTTGTACATTTAATTAAGTTATTTTTAATTATCTGTTGGTTAAATGTAATTGACTATTGTTCGGGACAAACAATACTAAGGAAGGGGCAGTGTTACGACAGCGGAAGCCGCGTGACGTGGGAGCATGCGCGCTGGAGTTTCTCGAATTATCGAGGAACTCCGCGAATGTCCTAGTGTTTACTAGACGCCCTCTTTTTTAGTATATAAGCCTGGCAGAGAAGCGAGCGACAGATAGATAATTGAGTCAAGCGAACAGTAGCTATGTGAACCCTAAATTGTGTGTGTTTTGCAGTTGCATAGAGCGTTATCGAGGTTGTGAATCGCTGTGATTTATAGCGTGTATTAAACGTTCTGGAATTACTGTGTACTAAAAGGTTGTATCGAGAAAGAATAAACTGATTTAATCAAGAAAGGACTTATATCCCTGAAGTTCTTCGGAAAGAAATTCTACCGGAAATTATCAAACAAGCAGATACGTAACAGGATTTAAAACAAAGAAACACTGACTTGAGAAGGTATTTCACTATTATAAACCTAAAACGTCATTTCTTAGTTGTTATTACATTACTTCTAAGGCGTCATTACACTAACAAAATATGTTGAACCAGCTTTTAAAGCAAATGGGTTGGATGAACTAGATGTGTAGGCACTATGCAATAATAAGGGTGTATGACAGAACAGTAAAATGTGTAATAAAGACATGCTACATAGCTTGGGCCCCTGGTGTCTAAGCGATATATTTGGGGACTTATAACATTAAAATTCAAGTTCGATAATAACAGTGAACACACTGTAGATAGCCCATTCTGCAGCTTTGTGATTAACAATAAACAAACGTACTGTTTGGAATTAATTTCATTACCAAAAGCTATATGAAACGAAATTACACTTTTATATTACTGAAAAGATGAAGGTTTTGCATGTACTCTTACGTACGAGCTTTATTTCGTATTTCAAAGCAGTATTGTGAATTACGTTATCTTTCGAATAAGACCTGAAATTCAATGAATTTTAAAATAGTTTTTAAAAATTATTTTGATGATTCGTTTATAATTTTAGAATGTAATATCTTACTGTCAATATTACGGATTAACATATTTTCGGAAATTGCGTGGTCAGTGTTGTTGTGGAAAGATTTATGACGTTAGTTTTCAATAAATTCTCTTTCTGTACATACTCATTGATATGAGCTTACACTTCTTCGTTGTTGTTGTTTTTTATTATTATTTAATTATAGACTGATCACAACACGAGGCACTTCCAAATTGCAGGGCGTCGTGCACAAATACTTTGGGGGTTGGGGAACAATCAGAAAACAAAGTGATTTTGTTGTCAGTGGCGGGTTAATGATAATAATTGTACAAATAATAATAAATGGAGTGCCTTTTACTTTTCATATTATTAAGTTTTCAATGTTAGTTTTACGAACTTATTGGTTTCTCATAATAATAATAAAAATGAGCATATTCAACCAAGTATTTATATTTGAATTTGGGATTATTACAATAGTATTAAGAAAGCATTTGGTAGAGACCACGCACACTGGTAGCTTATAAGCACAACGCCACTACAAAAGTGCGTATACTTTGTATTCTTTAGTAAATCCTGCATTGTTTTAATAATATCGTTAAATTATGTTTAACAAGTGTTCTGTTGAAGCTGAAAAAACTAATTTAATGCTCTACTATAAACCACAGATAAGTTGTGATAATAGTTTATAGTGACGGTGAGCATCTCTCTCTCTCTTTTTTCAGAAAGTCGTGTGTAAGCTAGGCTTAGCACATCAGTAGAAAGTTTTAAAATTAAAATACATGTTTTTAAACATATTAATGAACGAATCTATGTTGTTGGAAGTTCCTCTAAAATTGCTCGCATTGTTTGGTTTGCACTTTGTATAACGAAGCAGATTACTAGTACAACCGAATATAACGAAAGAATATATCGACTTTCCAAATACAAAAACAAGTTTTTTTTTGTTTTTTTTAATTATCACAGAAAGCGGTTAAAGAAAGCCCTTCAAGAAGTTTCTACCCATGTCAATGTAATAAGATACACTGTAAGAAAGGATATCAGTGTTACGTTACGTGACTTAATCAAATCAAGGCCAATTATTTTTGTAGATAATTTTACTTATTGTACTATTTAAAGTATTTTTCACATGCAAATTCTCGGTTTTATATTTTACCTTTTTAAATATTGTAGTAACTATCAGAAAGAAATATAAAAAAAAAGTTCCACAAATGAGTAAAATTAATGTTTACATAATCGACTCTAGATGGCGATACTTTGAACTTCTTATAAAATGAAACTCAAGGAATTAGCACACATAGGATTCTTGGTTACTTATTCGAAAATTGAAATTAATAAAATCAATAGTTCGTGGACAATTCAGTTTACCTAAAAGTTAAATTGAAAGTTTATTAGAAAAATGGAAAAGAGCGAGAAAGTTGGCATTGTTGGAAGGTACGTGTGGCTATTATTTTATTTTTAAATGGACTATGGCAGTATTGAAAAATTAAATTAAAATGTTTAAGTAAGGAAACCTAATCACTAAGGTTACTTAATGGTTTAAGTTGAAGTTTTTATGAATATCAGACTTTGTGGCAAAGTAAAGGTGCTTGCAGTTAATGTATTGTTAATATTTTCAGTATCATACTGATACAAATGTTTCTTAACTCCAAATTATGACATAAATAGTTATAATTATATCATTATGATACCTAACTTTCATGAAAGACTTTCCAATTACGTTTGGTTCAAACGTAGTTTATTTATCTATACTTTACTTTTTTTAGCGGTCTCATTGGTCGAAGTTGGGCAATGCTGTTTGCCAGTGTTAATTACAGAGTATCTTTGTATGATATTGAAAGTCAGAGAGTGGATGAAGCTCTTCAACTGATTCAAGAAGACCTAAAGACGTTACAAACTAAAGGCTACCTCCGAGGTACTTTATCTGTTGAACAGCAGCTCAAATTAATATCTAAAAGTGACACTTTATCTGAATGTATGGAAGGTGCCAAACATGTTCAGGTAAAATCTGAGAACTGTATATCAAGTAATGGATATAGTTCTTTTACGTAATATTATATTATAGGATGTAAAATTCAGCTCTCAGATGCATATTCTGTTAATTAAGAAATTAACATAAATAACTATTATAATAAAACTATCTACATTTCCAGTAATTAGTACCATTGATATTTGAAAGGTTAGGAGTGTATCAACCACATACCTGGTCTTTCACAGTAACAATAATTTTACGGATCTTCTATTTGGAAAGAAAGTTTAGTGATTTTGTTACAGGTTGAATGAAAAAGGCATAACATGATGTAAAAATGGAGCAAAAATACTTTATTTGGGTGAATAAGATGACACCTGGAATAAAGGTCAAGTGGAATTGAATTTTTATAGTAATAAGATAATGGAAATAAAACTGTATTTTGAAATGGATTGAAACCTATTGAAGATATTAAAATGTACAAAAAAAAAACATGAGTGGGCAGCAGTTTTTCAGATACTGAAACAAGGACAAGACTTCTTTAAACACAAGAAAGGAATCTAATTGATAATGCCCAGTCTATAATTACAAATCATGTTATCTCTGTAATTTATCAATCACAAAATTGGATGGCAAGTATCCAAAGTGTGTCTATTGTAAAGCAGTCTTGCATACACTGAACAATGTTGGATACAACAAAACTATCCTACAAAACAGTAGATAGCCTCCTTGACCAAATCCTGATACAGAAAGTAATGTCTGAAGTTAAATTAGCACATGAGCTTGTTTGGATTTGTGTTTTAAATTAGACTTCAAAAATTTTGTATGATACAAAATATATACTAGAGGGAAGCAAGACATGTGGTATCTGCAAACACCATAGCTGTTAAGTCGGATCTTTTTTGTGGTTTGCTGTTGCTACTTGTACAGTAAAAATCTTGTACACATTACCAAGGAAAGGCCCAACAAATCACGTGTCAATGGATTCACTGAGAACCCTATTAAAATATGCCCATATAGTAGAATTTGTGGGCATACCCCTATGGTAAGCAAGGGGTTTTATGTTTATTTTGAGAACTCGTGAGTGAAAGCAAAGCAGAATTTTATATATCAAACCATACTATTTTTAGGCACCTCCATGTCATTTCCACCTCTAGTAACAGCATGTAGCTGCTTGATGATCTGTCAATTTATGTAGCTTATGTTGACACTATCTCGTACTGCTTACAGATATAAATTGTGTTAGTTGCTAAGCTCATATTCCAAAGATTCATTCTCCACTAATTTTTCACACAACTAGGATTAATGTGTTTTAATAATGAGATTGACTTTACCAGTAAAATAGTTCCTGTCTCAGGCTTGCTGCCTTGTACATATTTATACACATGCTAAAACTTAATATTAAATGTATAATTAATCAGATGATAGTATTCTACTTGTAATTTCAAGTCAACTCATAGTAACTCTGCATTATAATAAAAACTAGGGTGACATTATGTAATGAAATAACTCAAACTAAGCCTGTACTTGAAAATAAATCATGATAACTTGTACTTAACACACACATTTAGCAACTCTGCAGTGTACCTAAAGTCAACACATGGTACATAGTACTTCATACTCATAACTTATACGTTGGTATTTGTGTAATTAAATCCATATCTGTTCATGGTGTAAATTAGTACTATTAACAGAACTAAAAAAACATTCACAACTTGTAGGCCAATATATAGTATGTAGATTTTAATATTTTCTTTCTTTTCATTATACACATATTTTGTATCACAAACTTTTCTAGTTGACTCCTTTTGATTCATAACACTTTATACTAAGCCTAGTTTAAACTTAAAGCGGGTGAACTGAAAATTGAACCTTGCTGATGCAAATATTAGTCTATAACCTTACCTAAGAGCTTTGGGGATAGCTATGAAAGAACCGTGATTAATTTCTTTTTCCCTTTCTTCTATTTTTAAATGAAAGAGGAGCTTGCAACTGCAACTCACTGCATAACAGCAACTAAAATATTGGTACAAACAATTACCAATCTTAGCTTAGTTATAGCTAAGTAAAAAATTATGTAATCTATGCTATGCAATTTAAACCATTGTATGTTATCTATTGTATTCTAAGTATAGACTGGAATTTATTTTCAAACAGTTAATGAGAATATTGATCTGAGCTTTAAAACTATAAGAAGTTCTAATTGCTTATCTTTCCAACATCATTAATCTCAAACTATTTCCTGCTAGAAACAATTCAAGATAAAGATTGTAACATCTGTACAATCTTGAATATTGTAGTTGTTGAAGTGGAATACTGTTTGAGTTTATTGAAGGTAATAGAATTTCAAATGAAGAAAAAGTTGAGAGTTATTCTGGACCAGCTGTTCATCTAGCAATATGACCATCTGTTAGTTTGCACGGCATTATTGGTAAACAATACCTATACAATGTTTTAATATCAAATTAGCAGAAATGAAAGCTAGGTTTGGAAACAGATTGACTGCGAGTGCCTGTTACCACTAAACAGAGGAAGTGTGCTTGGTACACATCTGGGTCACTTTGAAAGGTTACTAGAAACTGAAAGACAATACTGTTAAACATTCAATAAGGAACAGGTCCTGGAATACATAATTTATTGGTATTGTCCAGAATAAACTGTTTTTATTTGATATTAGAAGTGTTGGCATCACTGTTTGCAATATATGAGACATTATAATATTTCCTATATACAATGCTCTTACAAATATAGCTACATTTCTAACTTTTAAGTTAAACTTTAAATATTTTGTGTTACTTCTTTTCTGGAATGAGGAGATCTGTTAAATTATGACTCAAAAAATATATTGTATTGGTGTTCTTGGACATTAGTCTTGCCTTTATTACATGATTTTCACCAATGAACTGTTCCGTAAGTGAGATGATGAAGTACTAATACAGTTAAAGATGGGTGCAGTGGGACAACAAAAACATCATTTATACAATAAAATTATGATCTACGTGAATGAGTAAAAAACCTTTGACATTCAAAAACAATAGAAGATGTTGTCACAGTGAAATTTCACATTTTGGTTCAAAACAAATCATGAGTTAAAATATCTTTATTTTATAACTTAAAATACAATGTTTAAAAATTTTGTTCATTTTTAAAGTATGAATATTAATTTTCTGTAGGAGTGTGTCTTTGAAAGATTGGATTTGAAACAAAAAATTTTCAAAGAATTAGATAAGTTGGCTACAGATGAAGTTGTTTTATCTAGTTCAACAAGTTGCTTCGTACCATCAAGTTTTTCAGAGGGCTTAAAACATCGCAGGCAAGTGATTGTTAGTCATCCGGTAAGTATGAAAATAATTCTGTTGTCCTATAATGAATAATACAGTAGCTTTTATATATAAACTACATACTGCTCTACATCAACGGTGCTGGAACAATTTCAACCAATGGAACATAGTAGGGAGGATTCACCTACGTTAAGAAAACAACAACACTGTAATGGACACCATGCACTGCATCGAAAAATTATGTAACAGTTAAAAGTAACATCTGAGCTACAATGAGGTAAAATCACAGTTATTCAGGATCCTAGCGCTTATTCAGTCTATACACTCCTAAGTGAACCAGGGTTGATATGACCCTGAATTATTCTTGATTACTCCTGTGAAAGATGTTTCCATGGACCCTTCAAGTGTCCAAAGTCACTTGATGAGGACAAATTTCAGTATGCATACAGGTCACTAAATTTAACCAATACCTTCTTCAAGGAATGTGTCAACCAGCTTGATATATTAGGATGGACATTATACATTAGGCTTAAGTCTGGGCCAATTGTACCAGTATGTATCACAGAAGAAAAGTTCATTATATTTGATATTTAATGTGGAGTATTAATGATATCATTTAACAGTGCTTGTTCATACTTCTACCGAGTAAGGTCCAGCTTAACAAACATCAGTTCTATAAAATTGTAAGTCAAGAGAGTTTGACACATTTGGGTGGTTAAATATTTATGATCACTATGTTAATCATGAAGGCATTTGTCAAAAATAAAAATTTGGATATTTCGGTAGATAGGGATAAATATTACACCATTCACTGTCACTTTTATTCAGTCCTTTGGAGGAGACATTTTTGTCTTTGGTCTTTACACTAAATATGGAAAACATTTAAGAGCAATTATTTATCCCAAAAATGGACTGATCCTAGGATTGTTACTCAAACCCGTTGCTTGATGGAAGAGATTGGACAAAAACCAGTGACTTTAAATAAAGAAATTAATGGATTCATCCTCAATAGAATTCAGTATGCAATAATTAATGAATGTTGGAGATTATTAGAGGTCAGTTTGTAATACAAATGCTAATAATTGATATATACGAAATTTACCTGCTCTTTAATGAAGTTAATGATAGTAAATAAATGAACATATTTCAGAAATAAATATTAGGTATTTGTTATAAAGTTTCAAAATCGGAATTTTCTTATGACTTCTGTACACTGCTTCTTTCAGGTTATGGTTTTTTCACCAAAAAACGATTACTTCTTTTGACATTGATTTATGCAAAAGACCTACCACGTCAAAAGGACTTTTATAAACATCTTTTGCCTGTTGATCAATTTTCTCAGTTTCACGTTCTTTAAAGTACTTGGTAGAGCTAAAATATTGCTAAAAAAGAGAGAGAATAGGGAAGTGTTCATGATAAACTCATGTCAAATACATCTAACATTTGGTTAAGTTACAATTACTAATTGATCTTTATATTGTACTAGCTTCTGAATTACATGGAATTTTGTAATAAAGTTAGAGACTTTTATTTACTGAAGATATTTAAAAAACAAGAGGGAATCCTCAATAGTCACAGAACCTAATTCTTTATTAGAGTAAATTAATCTATGATCCTTTTTTTTTTTTCGTTTTTATTAACTATATTTTTGTGTACCAGCAATACCAAGCATGGGGTGCGTGTATACCTGGTTCAATTTTATTACTCATCAAGATCTTTACCAGCCTACCCTCAAACTGAAATTAATCTATGAGACCGTGGGCATGGTCAAGTACATTAATTAGATCTCAAATTGGTCAAGAGATGATGGAGCTATGACCTAAAAGTTTGTACTTTAAAAACTCTGAGTCATTCTATGAATCAGTATGCTGTAGCTAAAAAAGGAACTGTATATTGCTAAGTAATAAATTATAGTAGTTTTTTTTGTTATTTGCTGGTAACACATATGACTGAAATTATCATCTGAACTGTATTAATATATTAAAAATAAACAATAAATGAGAGTATGGTAAACTTGTATTAATCCAGGTTAGCTATTTCTAGACAGAACTCTGTGAAGTAGTTCAGGTTTAAAAATACTTCTTTTACAATATACTTTAGAGTGGAGTGACATCTTTAGAAGATGTAGACACTATCATGACAGCTGGACTTGGAATGAGATATGCCTTCGTTGGACCTATAGAGACAATCCACCTTAATGCAGCTGGTAAGTAACTTGTAATCAGAACTTCAAATTTCTCAACCTAATGCAATAGATAATAACATTAAAAGTAATGTTTCATTTGGAGAAATATCTGATCAGTTTGATGCTAAGATACTAGAAATAGTTTTTATATCTTAGTTTTAAAAAATGTATTCGGTGTATCAATGATGTGCTGTATTTTTCTTTGAAAAAAAAATCTTGTTAAACTGAAGCCCACTTTAAACTGTAAATTTGGATTAGGTATAAAGGAACTTATGGAAAGGTATGGACTAAATGATAGAGACAAATGTTTCATTACAAATATACTTTATTTGAATTCTGTGGCTAAATTTCCATAGTATTAAAACAACTGTTAATTCACTAAATGTAAATAAAGCTTTTTGTAATTAGGTGAAGTATAAACACATGCTATGTGAGAAATAAAAAAATCGACTTACAACTTGTATAGTTGGTATTTGGATGTTTAACATAATTGTTAAAAGTCGCATTTATGGCTAAGTTGAGTAAAAGCTAAGAGTTCAATTTATCCAGTATTGAAAAGCTGCAAGTGCATTATGTAATACTCAATGTTCTTTAACAGTAATGCCCATCACACATTTGAAAATAGTAAGATTCATTCTTCCTTACTGTCCATATCTTTTTTAAGCATAGCCAAAGCAGCCAGTCTTTTGTCACGCCAAACTCTGCGATCTTGTAGTCTATCAACAGGAACTTTCTTACACAATTCCTCATGTATCTTATCAACAAAAGGGCCTGTGTATGTGGGAATTGGGCCAAATGATCCAGTCACTTCACGTATACCTGGCCCTTTTTATTTACAAAACAAAATTCTGTGTGAGATAGAAAAAACACACCAGGAAGCTTTATTTTATTATTTTACCTTGCAATATTATAAACTCTGACAATACATTTCTATATCAACCAAACTTTCTTTTACAAATTTTACAAACTGCTTCAACAGGGATGACAATTTCAACTTACAAATTAGATGTCTAGAAGAATTCTCTACATAGTGGGCAGGTAGACTTCTGACTGGTGTTGAACCATTTGTACTGAGAGATAGAAGAAACGTGTATTAGAAACTTTCAATTTTAGGAGAATTTGCAATAATATTTTATCTAAATGAAGTTTTAAACTCTGACATTATGTACTGAAATACTCTACTTACTGTCATACTTAAATGTATTTGTAATATGTAGCATGTAAAAACAAAATGGGAAAATTCAATACACAGCTTGGCATTAACATTGAGTAAATTATAACCATGAGGTTTAACAACAGTCAATATGTATTATCCTGTGCCAAATGAAAAACTCACCAAACAAGCTGAATGAAACTTTTTTTTACATGTACGGCAAGATAAGCGAGGTAGCTGACACGTCGAACCATGAAGAACGTAGAAACAGATCATACATTCCTCAACTCCCTCAAACCTCTTGTCCACATTCTTCTTCCACAAAGCTAATCCATCCAAAATAGTTCCATTCTTAAAGACACATAGAGCCTAGATGTATCATGTTATAATGAGAAGTGAAGATAAAGAATTTATTTTAAAATATTGAAATTAAACCTTTGCCATTAAAACAGTTTATTGACATACACTGGTAATAAAGTTATTTAATTAAATTTTGAATGTAACTCTGTATCATTGACCCACCCAAATCTATAGGTTATAATACAGAAGAAATTCTAAATCTTCAATCTGAACAAACCTTACGATCTGAGTATATGAATGTTTTGCATCAGAAAGGGCTGTTACATTATCCTTCCTGAGAGGGATTGGTTTTTGATGGCATCACATTATGTAAGAAATATCAAATGTAGTTCTGATAAATGCTTTTCCACAAAAACTGTATATCAGCTGTGGTCATCACAAGACTTTCATATTCATAATTAATTTAATATAATTTACTCAATCCTCTGTAGAAGTGATTGGGTAGGTTGCTTTTCTTTGTAATTTATTCTAACACTAATATTGAATTGCCTATTTTAAATATTCAGACCTACCTACAAATTACACACTTATACTATAGATATTGGCAAGCTAGTGTGTAAACTTAGTCTTCAAGCTTCTTACTTTACTGAATTAATAATAATTTCAAATCAACATGACATTCCCATCCAATCTCTTTCCATCTTTCAAAAAATGTCTGTAATTCTCACTGATATTTTTTATTGGATTATTTGCAACCAATAGAAAGAGCAGATCCTTCTTGTGAGATTTGTTATGAAGCTAGTTCATTTTGGCACTCAATTTCATTGTTTGCCATTGTGGTGTTCAGCTCTCTAGTGGCTATTTTTTGAACTACTTAAAGATCAGCAAGAAAAATAGTCATATTACAATTTATTTTTTCTAAACTAAAAATTTGAAAGTAGCATGAATTATTTTGTGGACAACCAATGAAGTGTAAAAAAGTAGTTTTATCAAAGTATGTTCCCAAGTTTAAACAGGCCTACTTGCTAAAGTAAGTCTTACATTTCTTGTTTTCTATGTATGTTATTTATTCTACAATTTTTAACAAACGTTACTGAAAGATAAAAACTAGAAACTTATTAGGTTGCATAACAAAAGTTAAATGAAAAAAATCACAAGACCAGCTCGTTGTTTACACTAAGCTACACCTCTGTGGTAATCACTCTAGTTAATTGACTGTTGCATTGTTAGACAGGGTCAAAAAAAGTGTAACGAAATTAAATTAAAAGAAACAAATGTCAAAAGATTAGCAAGCTGAGGTTGTGACACTTACCTAATTGTTGTTGTCTATTACAATCAACAGTTAATCTAGAACAATTGAAAGTATTCTTCATTTTATTTCACTGTTATTACTACAGTTGGTGTTGTGGTAGAGACAATAAGAGATAAACAGAAATCAAAATTTTTTTGATAAAACTATATTTTAAGAGCTTCTAGAAGTTATACAAATGAAATATGGAAACTGTAAGTTGACAAAAGTATTTCCACTCTTATTATAAAAATCAACTTCCATTCAGACTGACTTAGTAAAGGCTTTGTAAATTTACACACAAATCCTCAGTAAAATTAAGTTTTTAAAAAAAAGATTTTTTTGAACACAAGCTCCTATAATTTTTACTAAAAGTTTGCAAATTTTATGACAATATACATATTACATTCACAACAATAGCATGTAAAGTTTCCTGGTTACAAGATCAGTAAAAATGACTGGGCCCTATTTCAGAGAGTTAGTGGCATTGGAAAACAAATGAATATAGAGTACATTTGGGCACCAGGACCAACCAGAAAGAGGCTTGCAACAAGTTATACCCGAGCTGTGATACATATAGTATAATGTATTTTAACAATGTACGCTTGAAAATTGTTATAACTCTACACATTTCCATCTTTGTATCATCTATTAACAAGTTGTTTCTGCATAAGTGGGAAATTTATTTGTTTACACAATTTTAATAAAATAAATTCCAACAAAAGAATAAAAGTTTGATTTTGTTTTTAATTATTTTATCCATACATTTTTTTATTAAAAACTTGTATCACAAGAGTATTTAAAGATTTGAAATTTTGCTTTGGAGAAAATTTATGGGGATACATCACACAATTTTTCAAAAGTTGATGCCATGATGTACATTTTATTGTGACTGCACATCATGCAATGAAGTGATTGGCATTTGAAAACTAGGGCAGATGTTTACTAAGGAAACAGTAGCCATATTTCACTCACTAACAAATCTTTCACAATTTTTTGTTTGTCTGCCGGCCCCAACCCACTTTTGTAGTCTTTCTGGCAGCACTAGTTGCCTCCATCAAATTTTCCAAAATTTATCAACTGGAAAACAAAATAAGTATTCATTTTATTCCATATGAAAGATATAAATATAGGTCAAGTTGTTTGTCATTAAATAGAGCCTGAATTGTTGTAATCATGTGGTGAAATTACTTTCATATAGTGTACTGAACCT